ACACACACACACACACACACACACACACACACACATGTTTATGTATGACTCCAGTAGTTCCTTGATGTTCAGATAATTCACTTTTTATAATTAATTTTTCATCTATCATTCTTAGTAGTGCAGGTGCTCTTCATGTTTTATTTAAAGTATTACATTTCAGGGGCGCCTGGCTGGCTCTGTCGGTTAGGCATCTGACTTCAGCTCAGGTCATGATCTCATGGTCCGTGGTTTTGAGCCCCGTGTCGGGATCTGTGCTGACAGCTCAGAGCCTGGAGCCTGCTTTGGATTCTGTGTCTCCCTGTCTCTGTCCCTCCCCCCCATCTCTCTCCCTCTCTCTCTCTCTCTCTCTCTCTCTCAAAAACAAACATTAAAGAAAAAAAATTAAAAAAAAAGTATTATACTTCAGTTTACCATTGCAAGGCTCTTCTGTTTAGAAAGGTATTTTTCTTTGCTTCTTTTTAAAAACTAAAATTTCAAAAACAATATGTTAAGATCTCTCTTCTGGTCTTTTAAACTTAAAATTTTTAAATGAAATTTTAAGTTTATCTCAGATTGTTTTTGTAAAGTTGTTATATTTATCTCACATGACTCTTACAATTTCTTTATTTTTCAAGGGGTCTTTGGAACCTGTATTTAAAAAACCCTGAAAAAGGAGTCTTCTCTTACTAAATACACATAAAATAGCTCTTAATAGTGTAGTCATACTTCATTTAGACATACCACATTGGAACACTAATTAGTCATGATGGAAAAGATTCTTCTATAGTTTTTCATCTTTTTCATTTATACTGCCTCTTGCAAGAATCCATTATCATCCATCCATCCATCCATCTACCCATCCACCCATCTACCCATTTATTCTTTCATTTGTTCATCAAATATGTATTACTACCTGCCGTATTCAAGACAATGAGCTGTCCAGTGTTCGGATGGGTGAGATGTTACAAAAATGACTAGATTCTGAGATATTTGACTCTGGAAACAAAAATGGAGAATGTTGATTTCTATAAGTTGAGGATTAAATAATGTGCCTTGGAAATTTGCAAATAACAAAGAAAATTTTCAACGTGTAGGGAAGTGGTTAAGTGCTTCAGAAAGGCTTTTTTCACTTCAGCTGACCTCCTCAGTCCTTGTTTATTTTGGATGAAGGAAAATGTTTTAACATTTAGTAAAAAATACAATAGAAGTTATCTGTTCTCAGTTCAAAAATGCCTAGAATATCCCTAGATTTTTCAAGATGTTTCACATCATCAGTACTTTTACTTTTTGTAGTTAAAATATAAATGCTATTAAATACTTAACTAAAATAGCGAAAAGTATGAGAAGTTATCTGTCCTCAAGGTCCATGTTCTTTCCTCTTACTGAAGAAACTTGAGTTGTAATACTGCCATGTTTTTTGATAAGTGCTTATTGTGATCTTTGCTCATTTTTCTTTGGTTTGATGTTATAATGCATTATTTTTCAGGGGCAAGATTAGTAAAGGCTTGGAGGATTTAAAACATGTTAGTCCAGTAGGAGAAACATACATCCACGAGGGACTAAAGCTAGTAAGTTCTTTTACATTTATAAGCATAGGGGAGAATGTTTTCTTATTCTGTAATACAATAAACTGTAACTCTCTAGTAAAACTCAAAGGCCCCATTACATGTTTATCTTTAAAAGTTTTTAAACATGCTTTTGTTATTCTAAGGATGAGACTGACTTACCATGGTGATAAGAAAACTTTGGATGGCATTTTGCTTTTTAAGGAATTTTTCATCTTCTGTGTGATTACATTCAGACTAGCCAATCAAAGCTTAAAATTTATCTCCTTTAAACCCAATAGTAACTACTCTATACTGTGAATATATGCACATTTCAAATAAAATAGTTAACCCAAAATACCCTGTTTTAAAAGTCAGTCTATAATATTTTGATTTTGTCAGACTCCTAAATTCAGCTTGATGGAGCATGCTGGTTAAAAGCTAAAATTCTTAGTTGGACAATTATTCTTCATTTTCAGGCAAATGAACAAATTCAGAAAGCAGGAGGCTTAAAAACCTCCAGTATCATAATTGCTCTGACAGATGGTAAGTTGGACGGTCTGGTGCCATCATATGCAGAGAGAGAGGTGAGTATTGAACTGAACCTGTTCTTTATGCCCCAGTGTATTTTGCTGTGTGTCTCTGTATGGATAGCCTGATATTTGGATAATTCACGTCTGTCTCTCTCCCTCTGTCTTTCTCTGTCTTTCTCTCTCTCCATAGGCAAAGATATCCAGGTCATTTGGCGCTAGAGTTTATTGTGTTGGTGTCCTGGACTTTGAACAAGCTCAAGTGAGTACAACAGATCTGCAAACTTTAATCTAAATTACATAATTGTCCTAAGGATAGCTTATCAAATTTTTTTCACTGATGACTTACTGTGATGCTAACCATTTGCCAAAGGTTTTCTATAAGGTGGCCATATGTCTTGAAAGCTGCATCAGTCATGTCTAGTTTTGATAGGTTTCATTACTGAAAACAAAACTCTGAATTTCATGACTATTCATTTGATTTGAAGGAACTAATATTGTAGGATATACATTTGGATTAAAATAATGTGAATGCTCTTTCTTGAACTCAACTGACAGGATTATTATGACAGTCTTATAGAGGTATTTTAGTTTGATTGAAAACTTGACTCTTAGGAGTGCAGGGATTTGGGAAAACAAAATTTTTTAATTAAGTTTTGAGGGTTTATATATTAATTTTTTTTTTCTGCTCACCAAGATGACTTTGCATTTAAACTTTTGGTTGAATGTGACATAGGACTCCTGTGTCTCATGGCATTTACAGCTAGCAGAGCTCTGCACTGCTTTGAGATTCAAACTTGGGGCCAATGTAAAGGGGCTGTGGCTGATTCATTTCATTGTGATACATTTAGAATGACACTGGTGCCGTCTCCTTCAATTCCTGACAGGCTACCCTGGTGAATTAATCTGTAGTGTAATTTTTCAGATGAACATAACTGAAACATAATGAAGTGTGTAAAATCTTGTATGTCTCAACTACCCGTTAATTAAATGTTCCTCCTTTTACTAAAGCTGGAAAGAATCGCCGATTCCAAGGAACAAGTTTTCCCTGTCAAAGGCGGATTTCAAGCTCTTAAAGGAATAATTAATTCTGTGAGTATTTTTCTGGGAGTAAGAAAGGCTCATAATTTTAGATACATTTTACAAATGTTGGCAGTAATCTTGATGTCCAGTTCAGGTAGTCATTGTGTTAAAAAGGAAGTTTGTTTGGTACTGTGAACACAGCATAATTCGGAAGATCTGAGATTTTGTTTGTGAGATTTGGTGTTGATTCTTAGACGTTGAACTCGGTGAGCCTGGGTTTGTGATTTCAAGTTTAAGATCTTAGACAGCCTGAGACCCTTATATCCTTTGAACGTGGAGTTCCTCACTGTCTTGATATCTGGTAAGTTTTATAGGATTTATGGAGGAAGTATAAAATAAAAATTTGGATTGGAATTTGTGTGATTTCTCCCTCCTCCAAATACGGTGTTTCGTGGCTGTCAGGCACCTTGCCCCAGCGGCCGAGTATTTGACTGCTGTTGTTGTTCTTTCCGTTTTAATGATTAATAGTTTCACTGGAGCTCATAATATTTCTGTTTGGAATTCAGTTGCTCTGTCTCTGGTGATCGTTAGAATCGAGGCTACCCTAAAGAGTATGATGGGAAGTGGGATGATGAAATGTGAAGCAAAACTCCTAGGCTTTCACTGCTGAGGTTTATGTTTCATTTTACTGCCTTTTGCTAGAAGCACTAGGAACAGTTGCTATTAAGTATTTATGATATTTTGGTAAACACTATCCTAAAATGGAAGCGAGTAATATATAGTCTCTAAGCTAGAGCCTTTCCTTTAATCTTTAGGTATTTACTGAAGGGCGGTGGGGTGGGGGGAAACAACTCAGTGTCTTTGGATGTTTCGTTCTGGCTTTTAAAATTTCTCTTTAAAGATCATTCATGTGTTTCACAACCAGAGTGAGATGGGTTGATTTTGTTTTTAAGTAGCATGCGAGTTTTTTTTGCCCCCCTCACTCATGGAACTTTCCAAAGAAAAAAATACGATTTGGTTCTATCACATATCGGTACTTCTAGTGGGCAGGCCGAATGTAAATACAGAACGGAACAGAGATTTTGTTATTTTAGGAGTTTAATTATGCTTAGTATTTAGAAAAAATTGCAATGTAAAAAACAGTAAATATTTTTATACTTGGATTCAAGGTAAATACTCTGCAACTGTGATTTGTTTTAAAATACAGAAACATGCATGGTCAATGCAAAAGGGAGGATAATTTGATCCTATAAATAAACAAACCAGCAGATTGTGTTTTAAATAGAATTTCATTGTGCTTGGGAATTTGCAGTTATTTTTATAATTATACTGGGAAGGAGAGAAGACCTCTCTGGATTATTTTATTTGGATTTTTTTTCTCTGTATAAAAAAGGTTCACTTCAAAAGACTAATTGGTTTTTTAAAACTCTTTGCTTATGGGCTATGACTGCATATTTCTCCTGTAGGAAATTAGTAGTTGACAACCAGAGAAGATACAGTTGTTGTTTTATTTGTTAAACTTCATTTATTTTATTTGTATTGGAGAAACTTTAGAATGGAATTTCTAACTGCAGTCTTTCTGGCCTGGAGTTCTTGATGGACTTTAGCTTGAGTAAGTTATGTGGAAAGAGTTAGCATGAAATTAGAAAGACTTGTGTTATTTTAGCTACAGATTGCAAACAAAGCCTCTTGAGTTTCATCTGGTGGAGGCCGATGGGTATAGCGTTCATTTTAATACAGTTCCACTTCAGCTATTTTGTCACTAAAGGAGGAGTAAATTCTCCTCAGGGAAGCCAACCTCTGGGGAAAGCCTGGCAGTAACATGGCAGAGTTGACAGGGGGACAAATGGAGTCATCACAACCAAAGTTAATCTCACTAATGGTTGAGATTTTTATCAACATGATGATAGTTTGGGATTTTTGCTTACTTTGCAGAAATTTAAGGCAATTCAAACACTTTATCTCTCTTCAAGGCAGAGATTGCCTCACCTCTGATAATATACAAAAGCTATAATTCTGCCTTAAATTTGAATTGCACTTTATACTGACCAAGTACCATGTTATCTTCAAAAAATTATATTTGGTATTTAAAACAAATATACTGTATCTATTTCAGGGTAAGGGCAGAGAGAAGAGATGATCTCTTTATTCTTTATGATTTACCAAACTAGTAGACAAAATTGTGCTGTGAAATGTATTTATGCAAAGCTAAGCAAATGTAAAAAGTTAGAAAATTTAACTCTTTCAGATGTCTGGTACTTTGATTTTTTTTTAATATTCATTTTTGAGAGGGAGAGAGAGAAAGAGACAGAGTATGAGTGGGGCTGGGGCAGAGAGAGAGGGAGACACAGAATCTGAAGCAGACTCCAGGCTCTGAGCTGCCAGCACAGAGCCCGGCAGGGGGCTTGAACTCCCAGACCACGAGATCATGATCTGAGCCAAAGTCGGATGCTTAACCAACTGAGCCACCCACGTGCCCCCACATGTCTGGTACTTTGAAGGCAAAATATTAGTTAAATTGAGAGATAATTTCTTTTTCCTGCGAGAAGTTCTTCAAATACATCTGGCTTTATTGCCAATGAATGAATTTTTTTGAAGTTAATCTTTAATTGAGAAAAAATGTCATGTGTTTTTCTTGCTTTCTCAATCCTCTCTCGCCTGCCCACCAAAATCCAGTGATCTAGATGGTCTGGTCCCTTATTGTATATCACGTTTTGTTAAGACATCGTTTGTCTAAAATCCACTTCTTAATCAGCAAGGATAGGTGTTTCATTTTGGAGCCTTCCTTCCTGTAGTTAAAAAAAAAGAAGCTCTGTAGCAGTACTGTCTTCTGTAACTTCAAAAGCAAGGGACTGAAAAAGGCCTTTGTTGTGAACATTTTGCATGTTAACAATATAATACCTTCTCTAAGATTTACTTGATTCAGAAAATCATTTTAATGTTTTAATTTGGAATGGAATGAATCATTTCAAAATTTTTAGACTTTTAGGCAAACGTGATATGTGACATTTTTTGGAATATGGGTTTAATCTCCAATCTTAATTAGGGATATTAAGGTTTAAAATTCATTATTGTCTCAAGTAGATGCTGGTAAAACTTTCCTCTTGTTCACCTCTTTTCCCCCCCATTATCTAATTTATTCTTTCATTCATTCATTTATTGAGCTCGAACATGCTTACGGCACTGTTAAGCTCAGAAGAAGGGACATAAACTTAAATAAGACAAACTCTCTGTTTCTGAAGGAGTTTGAGGAATGACGACTTGGGGTTTGGAATATGGTTTTCCCCTTGCAGGAATTGCAAAATGCGCAGACAAGGAGGCGGGAAACTTCAGTGAGTCACTCTAGGTGATAAAAAAGAATCCTATCATGCAATTTGTGTTAAGATGCCAGTATGGCTAGAGTAAAGTTAACAGAAGGATGGGATAAGTTTGGATATGTTAAGTAATGGAAGACTTTGGGTGGTGGAATTTGAACTGTGCTCTGACAGTTGGAGTAAATTAGAAACAAGGAACACAGAACTTGAGAAAGAACCTGGGCTGAGTGGCTGAAGCACAGGAGGCAGTGTGTGGCCTGGCTTGGATTATGGAGGGATATGAAGGATATCAGGCTGGATCCAGATTCTGGAAACTCTTAAGTGTTTGAATGGGGAATTGGCACTTATTTCATAAGTAATTGGGGAATGATGGAGGAGCAGTTTGGGGATGGGATTGATATGATAGCTGAGAACGTTTAGGAAGAATATTCTTGCAGTAATGGATAGGATAATTTGGAATATGGAAAGGTGTGCTGAGATTGGGAATAGGAAGACCTGAGTATGAGTTCTGACTCTGCCACTGTCTAGCTATGTGGCCTGGTGTACTTCCTAAATGTAATCTCTCTGATTTTTAAAATTCTCATCAAGTCAAATGGGGACAATTCTATTTCATTGGGTTGTTTTGTGAATAAAATGAGACAATGATTAAGAATGATCTAACTCAGAAGGGTTGGGTTTTAAACCATTTGGTAGGCAACTAGGAATGGCAGGAAGTTGGGACCGTATAGGATAGGTTATTGATCTTTCTGCAGGACAGTCCACTGAGAGAGATGGCTAGAATTCTAAATAATCAGTGTCTTAGAAGAGCATGACACTGATATGTGAGAGGATCAAATCTAGCAAGTGGGTCGTAAGCACAAGGATTTCTAGATGGTGTAGCTAACCAAAGTCAGATATTTGGCTGTGTCCTAGTTCTGAATCTCCAGGCCATGGAGCTAGGACCCAGCCAACAACTGGGAAAGGAGATTCAGTATTCCCATGACAAAAAAATTGTTTTTGGTAGAATGTCACGTAGAATTTCAGGACCCTGCATTCAGAAAAGAGTCACAGTTCTTGTCAGGGAACTTGTAGTGCTATTTAGTGATTCAAAGTAGAAACCTAGTTGTTAAGGGGGGAAAACCATCTTCAGTGGACCATAGTTCCTTAGGGCTTATTTTAGGTACTGAGATTCTAGGTCTTTCCCAATAAAACTAGGTCAAGGACCACAAGGAAAACATGTAATAAACTCTCTGCCCTGGTCAGAATCATGTCAGGAACAGGGTGGGGCAGAACCTCCAGGGATAAAATTGTTTTCTCTTGCTGAGCCAGTCTCTAATGGGTCTGGAAAACATTAACTGCTGTTATTATTGTGATGGCAGTGAAACTGGAAATAAAAAGGTACATTTGGGAAACCTTAAAAGTTAATAGAACCTGAGAGATGACTGGATATAGGGTGAAAAAGACAGAGGGAAATTGAATATAACTTGGGCATTTTGCCCCCCATCTGGAAGCAGTGAGAGTGAAAGCTGTTTTTACAGAGGTGCACAGAGTGCTAGAGAACACGCTGGAATTGGACAGAGGGATAGAAGAGAAGTGGGGCTGGGTCTGGGAAGTCCCTGTGGGGAATGTCCCTTTGGGAAGTGGAGGTCCAGCAAAATGTTCAAGTCAGAAAACTTCAGAATTGAGTCATTGTTCCTCCTCTTGTGTTTTCTCCCCTCCCGTTGCCTACAAACACAGGACATAATTCTTCTGTTTTCCTCTTTAGATTATCTTTAA